AGCACAACAAAAAGGCCACATATCTCACACTTTATGGGTTGGGGTACAGGGAATCGGTGGGGAACAGACCAAATCCAAGGATATATGTCATTCCAAAACAAAGAAGGGGAAAAGGTTTTTTGGGGGGAGGGGGCAGGAGAGGGGGGGGACAATGGCACTGGAGGAATACAGAACTACACGAAGAAGGAAAAAGAGAGTGGGAGGGATTAGACCCCATACTGACACACCAAGCCCTGAGGATATTGCCCCTGCACAAAGCTGCTAAGGCACAGAGCCAAATGTTGGGCCGACAACAGCTCAAGACATGATGTCCCCTTGCTGGAGCATACTGCAACAAGAGGACAATACTGGGGACACAAGGGGCGAACCAAGAATGGAAAATAACAGATCAACAACTAGAGTAAACAAAGCCACAAAACCCCTGAGGAGCTCCAAAAATAAACTTCAGGCTAGGAGGGACAGTTCCCGGAACCCCCCAAGAAGGAGAGGGTCATAAAGGTCAGCAGACAGACCTGAAACTGTGTATACTTTTCGTTTTTGTTTTTTGCTAGTTTTTCATTTCTTTTCATTCAATCTTTTGTTTTCTTTTGATTTTGTCCCCGTTAGTGTTGTTTTGCCTACCTATATAAGATACGGATGGGAAGCAAGTCCGAGGAGAAAGCAAGGGGACTGACAGTTCCAGAAGGACTTGGGGGGGAGAAGGAGGAGGAGGGAAAGGAGTAGTAAGCAAACAACACCATAGACAGGGGAACAACTAGGAATTAAAATCAACAACGACGAAAACAAGATCTGGGGGTGTTGGAGTAAGAGGAATCTAACTAAAAGGAATTACGAAAAGGCAGAAGAAGGGCAAGTGTGATGGTGGGGCAGGAGGACAGTAAAAGGAAACAGAGGAAAGATTTAGGAAGCAAAACCAATGATAGTGGTAGAAACATATAATTGTATACATATGTAAGCATTAATTCATAAATAGAGAAGTACTGGCCTATGTACATATATTTATAAGGTAATATATTGAGGAAGTGGATGGACTTTGGGCCTCTACTCAAGCCCTCCCTCAATGCAAGAACACTTTGTTCTTTTAACATGGCATTCTGTGATGCCCACCCTCCCAACACAATCACTGAAGACAAAATGGGTACATAAGTAAATGTGAAGAAAGCTGATGGTGCCCAGCTATCAAAATACATAGTGTCTGGCATCATAAGGCTTGAATTTAAACAAGCAGCCATCTAGCAAAGAAGTAAAAGCCCACATGGAAGAAGCATACCAGCCTGTGTGATCATAAGGTGTTGATGAAATCAGGTAGCAGACACCAGAAGACCCCAAACAAAAAAAAACCTTAAAAAAAAATATTGTTAAAAATGAGGGCGGTCGGAGCAGAGACCCAAAACCCATCTGTAGACAATAGGACATTCCTATTGTCACAGGAAGGGATGAGTGAACCAGGGGGCAGTATAGCACTGATGAAACACACAATATCCCTCTGGTTCTTGAGGCTTCATCCCCCTCCACGATCAGGACCCCAGTCCTGCTTTGCAGTTCTGGCTGGACCATAGCCTGTACACTGGTACAGAGAAGAGCTCAGGACACATGAAATCCAGGTCAGAAAAAAACCCCAGGAAAACAGAAATGGAAGTAGTGATACCAGTTGAGGAGGGAGAAGGTGGGGGGAGAGAGGAAGAGGGAACTACTAGCAATGATCAAGACATAACCCCCCCTTGTCCTCCCCAGGGGGGACAAACAACAGAAATGTGGGTGAAGGGAGACAGCCGTCAGTGGGGGAGAAGAGTAGATACCAAAGGCTCAAATAGAAAGTAAATGTTTAGAAAATGATGATGGCAACATATGGACACATATGCTTATACAATTGATGTATGGAATGTTACAAGAGCTGTAAGAGCCCCCCAAAAAAATGATTTCCTCTAAATTAACATGAAAAAATAATAACTTATAAATTATCAAACGTTCATGAAGGAGGGTGGGGGAGGGGGGAAATATGAGCTGATACAAAGGGCACAAGTAGAAAGAAAATGTTTTGATAATGATGATGGCAACATAAGCAGAAATGTACTTGACACAATGGATGTATGCATGGATTTTAGTAAGAGCTGTAAGAGCCCCCAATAAAATGATTTAGAAAAACAAAGAAAGAAAGAAATGTGTGAAGTTGGGGGGGGGGGAGATACAAGGTGTTTTAGCCCGGGTTGACTCGAGAAACAGATTCACAGACACTCATATGTGTATAAAAAAGAGCTTTATATAAAAGAGTAATTGTATATTAAGAAAACATCTCAGCCCAGTCCATAAGTCCTGATATTAGCCATATGTCCAATACCACTGTATAAATTCCTCTTTAGACTCATGCAACACATGCAATGACATTGAATATGGGAAGATCACAGGCCAGGGGGTGGCAAGTCTTGTGGATCCAGTGGAGTTGGAAGCATGTCAACACTGGCGTGGGTCTCCATGTGGCTCCTCCAGCTTTGGGGCTCTGACTGCCATCCACCATAGCTCCATGTAGCTTGTCAGCAGGAAGACAAAGCAGAGAGAGTGGGACTGGCCTCCAGTGAGCTATTTATCTCTATAACACCTCCAAATGTGGTCATCAAGCTGCAACTTGATTGACAGGCTAAACTCCACCATAACAGTCTCAAGTTGGCACCAGATTATGTAACTACCACACAAATGAAAAATTCAGGTGCTGTGATATGGAGTTAGCCTACATTGGCCCAAGAGCCTTCTCTCCATAGGGCTTTAAAAATTAGTACCAGGGACTAATCAAAGACAATATTAACAGAAGATCATTATGCCCAAGGGGGATGATCAATAAGACTCTCTAACATAAATTAACAAGGAGGTTTTGAAAGGGAGCTAAAGGCAGATATAACAAACAAACATAGATCCAGGACTGTATTTTGGGTTCACATTAAACACTAGCTCCAACTCAAGAATAATTAGTTCTTACATCATGACCCTCCTCCATACTCACCCTTGGGAAGGGAACACCGAAGGGTGCTAGAGCTAAATGTGGTGAAGAAATTAAAATAGTATCTCTGGTCTTCAAGGCTTTTCTCCAAACAAGCAGCCATCTAAGTGAGATGTCAACTAAGCCTACATGGAAGAAACACACCATCAGTCACCGAAGGATTATAAATAATATAATCCAAAATTGAAGGAGGTACTTAGTATCAGAGCCTACATTGTGAGGAGGACTAGAAGCACTTCGTGATAAAGATTTAGTGTGGATTCCCACTCAATATAAAGAATCCAAAAGCCTCACAACTGAAGCAGTAGATAACATCTTGGTAAATGGAGAAAAGGTTGAAGTAGTCAAAGAGTTTGTCTTGCTTGGATCTATAATCAATGTTCATGGAAGCAGCAGTCAAGAGATCAAACAACACATTGCACTGGGTAAATGTGCTGCACAAGACCTCTTCAAAGTGTTGAGAAGCAAGGTTACTTTGAGGAGTAAAGTGTGCCTGACCCATGTCATGGTATTTCCTATCATCCCACTGTATGTGAAAGTTGGACAATGAGGAGCTGATGCCGGGGGCTTAAGTGGAGAGAAAATGTTTTGAGAATGATGAGGGCAATGAATACATACATGTGCTTTACACAATTGATGTATGTATGGATTGTGATAGTTGTATGAGCCCCTAATTAAATGATTTTTTTAAAAAAAAGAAAGTTGGACAATGAATATAGAAGACCAAAGAATTGATGTGTCGGAAGTGTGGTGCTAGAGAAGAATATTGAAAGTACCATGGACTGCCAAAAGACCAACAAGCCTGTCTTGGAAGAAGTACGGCCAGGAATGTTCCTTAGAGGCAAAGATAGGGAGAGTTTATCTCATGTACTTTGGACTTTACCAGGAGATGTCACTCCCTGGAGAAAGACATCATTCGTGGGAAAGTAGAGGGACTGCAGAAAAAGAGGAAGGCCCTCCAGGACCTTTGACACAGTGGTTGCAACAATGGACTTGAACATTAGAACAACTGTGAGCAGGGCCCAGGACCTGGCAGTGTTTCATTCTCATGTACATGGTGTTGCTATGACGTGGAAGCAGCTCCTCGAAGGCACCTATCAACAACAACACCCATTAAAGCACAAAAACATCAGCAGGAGAAACATGAAGTGGTCTACTCGAAAAAAGATTTACAGTCTCCAAAACCAACGGGCTGGCCCACACTGTCCTGTTGGGTTGCTGAGTCTGAACTGACTCCATGGCAGTGAATCTGGCTTGAGGTTAGCCATCAAATCCACCAGGCCCATTCACATGTGGAAATATTTCCCTTTCCCTACTGTGAGCAGTTCATGTTTTTAAGACCAGCCAAAGCTTTCCTAAACTGCCTCAGTTCTTCATTCCTCAATATTGCCAGAGTAATCAGTTCCTCTCTCCTCAGTGCACGTACCAACAAAGGTAAACTTCGTCTTTATGGTGCTTGTCTTCCAACGCAGTGTAAGCTCTCTAAGGGCAACAGCTGGATGGGTAAATGGGTTTGGGTTGTGGAAGGATTGGTGAAAGAGATCTTCAAGTGAAACTAAGAAAATGTATAGTAATAGAAAATGCTGGCAGTAAGTCCTGAGCAGGATGTAGAGCAAGTCGGTTGGCATATAGAACAGTGCTTCTCAACCTTCCTAATGGTTGAGACCTTTTCATTCAGTTCCTCAGTGACCCCCCAACCATAACATTATTTTCGTTGCTACTTCATCACTGTCATTTTGCTACTGTTATGAATCGAACGACCCCTGTGAAAGGGTCGTTGTGGCTCCCAAAGGGGTCGCGACCCACAGGTTGAGAAACACTGGAGAAGTAACTTAAAAACTCCTTCCAGTAGACGCCTGGCAATACCAAGCTATGACTTCCGAGGCATCGATGTCTGCAGGCAGGGAAAAGACCTTCCTGATCGCCTGCCACCCTCCGACGCTCTGCCGGAGGAGGTTTCTCTGCAGGGCCGGCGAGCCCTGCGCGCGTCGAGGAAGCACCTACCTACCTTCCCGTTGGTGGGAGGCTCCTGGATGTAGATGTTGCTCATCGCGGTCAGTGCCCGGGGCCGGGGAGCAGCGTGGTCCTCCGAGCGGTCGGGGCGCGTCTCCTTCAAGTGCGCTCCGGTCAGTCGTCCTCCCCTAAACACCACTGCTTTCCCCCGAAACTAGCGCCTCACGGGCGCCGCCATGTTGCTCCCGAGCCCCAGGACCGCTAACCCTGCGAAGGGGGTTCCAATCCCCTCTCGGGATGAAGCAAAGCTCCCTAACCTCCTGGGACCCAACGTCACGATGACGAAACTCGTTACGGAAACCATCCGCGAGCGTCGTGACGGGCGCTTGCTTCCACTCCAAGAGCGTGCGCTTCGCACGCACCCCCCCCACCCCCGACGCGGGCGTAATGGTTCGCGCCGGTGGGTCGGGCCACGTCGCCGGCGGAAACCGCCGCACGGAGACCTGGGTTCCGCAGGAGAACTCGGTTCCGCCGGAGCCGGAGCCGGAGCCAGAGCCGGAGCCGGAGGGCGCCGGGCGCGCCCCGGCCTCGCGGAGCTTCCCCGGCGCCCGCGGGAGGAAGAGGCCGCGTGGGCCGCGCGCTTGTCCTCGCGGCGGGAGGACTGGGGGCCCACCCTCGGCCATCGGGGGCTCCGGGGACGCCGCCTGCTGGCGCCATGGCTGTCCCAGGTGAAGACGCACCGCGCGGCCCGGGGCCGGGAGGGGAAAGCGGAGGGATGGAGCGGAGTGGGTGGGTTAGGGGATCGGGCCCCAAGGGGGTTCCCCGGGGACGTTGAGATGAACCGGCTGGGAGGTGGGTCTCCACGAAAAAATTCGGATTCCAAAAATAACCCCTGGAGAGGAAGAAAGAAACTGTCTCCCCCTCGGCTCCCCAATCCGGACTTTCAGGGGATCGTGAAGCGCGCGTGAAGCAGGGAGGGCCGAGAGGCCGAGGGGATGGGTGGTGGCCTAGGAAATTAGACCGGCCTTCGGGACAGCTCAAAACGAATAAAAATAATAATAACGAGGTCGGGGTACTTGGAGGCGCCAGGGAGCCAGGGGCATTGTTCGTCGTGGGCGTCCAGGAACGAAGCCGGCGCCGAGGCTTCTCCTTCCAACACCCCCTTTTGGTCGTCGCCCCGTGGGCAGTGGACCCGGCGCTCGGCCCTTCTGGACCTCGATTTCCGAATGTGTAAAAGAAGGAATTTGGTTAACTTCTGTACGGGGTTCCCGCCGGCTTTGGAGTGTCTGTATCCCTAGAGGGTTGTTTTCGTGGGCTCTCCATTAGATTTCAACTGGGGTCCCACTCCAGAAGGGTAGAAGCACCCCCAAATGTGTCCTCGACTCGGGTTTTTACAGGAGCGGATCCTCAGGTCTTTTCCCAGAGGAGCGGGCTGCCGACGGATTCCAGACCCGCTTAACCACCGCGCCACCAGGGTTCCGACTGCCGACCCCAAACCCACAGCCGTGCGCTATCTTCCGACCCATAGGATAGGGATCCTGGCGGGTCACAGTTGAACTGCTCCTGTAGATTTTCGAGTCTGTGAATGTGTTTGGGAGTAGAAAGCCTCATGGTTCACCTAGTGGGTTCCCACTGTTGGCTTTGGAATTCTCAGGCCAATGAGTAGCCCACCACACCACAGGCCACTTGTCACCAGGGTTAGTAACCCCAAACCGGGCATTCTGCAGATGTCAGGCCTCAGGGATTTCCTCATCTGCAACTACCACCTTAGTTTTAAACTCTGCTAGGGAAAGTATCTCCTTAACGAGCTTTTGCAACAATGTATTCGCGGAAATGTTTTCAGAAATTTCACTGCCAAATTTGGGAGACATTTCTCTGTGTACTCCTTGTCAGTTTGGGGATTCACGATACATTTTAACATGGGGGAAAAAATCAAGGAGTGCATGAAGCCCTAATTTTGTTTAAACTGGCCTTCTTAGTATGATGTGACCTTGTTCTTTGTCCCGTGGCAGCCTTTACAGAACTGTACTCTGGTACTAACTGTTATCTGTGTGCTGCCTTACCATCTACCATTTGGGCTGGAGCCCACAAGTGCTGTGAGAGAGGAAAGAACCACTCTTTTATACCCATAACCTGTTTATTGTGTGCCAGCTGTGTGCTAGGCACGTAACACCCACTGGGTAATAAACGATAAACAAGATTAACATAGCCTTGTTCACAGAAAATCTATAATGTAGCAGCAAAAGTGGTGGAGCCGAGTACCAGAAAGTGGAGTGTATGCTGTGACAAGGATAGCACATAGGAAGAAACTTAGCAGGGTAAAGGAGGAGCCAGAATACCCTTCTAGAGGCTGTGGCATTTAGTGTGAGACTTACAGAATAAGGGGTTGGGGAATGAAGGGGTGCTGTGTAAAAGCCTGGTAGGATAAACAAAGAAGTATGTTGCGGAAGACAAACAGGAGCCAACTGAAAAGTGAACTGAAAAGATGATGACAGTGGCTAATATTTACTGACCATTTACTATGGCAGATACTGTGCAAGCACCTCATTTAAGTTTCACAGCCACCCCAGGAGTCTTAAAGCAGTTGCCTCAGTGCATCCCTGCTCATGGTGACCCTCCATAGAGTGTTCAGTGTCTGGTTTTTTACAAACTAGATCACAAGGCCTTTCTTCAGAGGGACAACTGGATGGACCCAAATCTTCAGCCTTTCAGTTGAAGGAGTTTGGTGGGTACTGACCATTTATACCACTCAGGAACCCCATGTTGTGAAAGAAGTGCTATGATTCTCATTTGACAGATAAGGGACAGAAATCTAAGATGAGAAAGCTGGTAAATGATGGAGCTCAGTCAGTCTGGCCCCATTAGACGCTGTTCAAGAGCATGTTGCCATGCTATAGTCTAATTTATGGAGTACATTTTTGGCACTTTGTAGACCTTTTAAGCTGTAACAAGGAGTTTTAACTTTATTTTTAGGGCAGTTAAAACATTTAAGGGTTTTTTTAAAAGCAGATACTCATCTGAGAAGGATGGTTCTGGCTACATAGTTGATTGAAAAAGAGCTAATTAACAAGTTAAAGAGAAATCTTGTTGAATTATGATACCTAACTAAGGTGCTATGGGGGCTCCAACCCCCTTCATCCTGGTTCAGCCATGGCCAAATGATAAAACTAGAACAAACTTGAATTTTGTAAATGTGGGCAGCAGAATGCCCACACCAGGAACATATTGAAGCCCTGCTAGAAACGTAATCTTTCTCTTTGAAAACAAGGACAATCAATGTTCCTGTCGCATAGCTGACAGATCTCTTGATTGAATAGACAACAGCAGTTTCCTGCTCAAAAATGGCAGCAACCGCACTGCTTTGACTATGTGTCCCTCTCCAGAGTGCCGGCAGCCATCCAGTGTCACAGGTTAGGCTCCTGAAAGGATTCAGTGTGCCTCTTCCAAGTCTCCAATCCCAAGGCATCCATCTAATGTTTCTAGTTCTGGTTAGCATTCCAGATCAAGCAAATGTTACAATCCAGGTCTACTCCAGTTTCATATCATTGGCCATGACTGAACTAATGCGAATGGCTCCGACGCCCTGGTATGGTGTCGTTAGGAATGGAGAAAAGCAGGCCGATTGGAGAAATATTTGGGGAATTCAGATCACCTGGAAGCCATAATTGAGTGGCTATATGTAGCTAAGAGAGGAAATGAGGTTGATGTAGGTTTCACCTAGACAATGAGGTGGGCCCGTTTACTGAAAGAAGCCACACCTGAGAAGGAGCGGCCTCCTGGAGGATGGTTTCAGTGTGAGGCATGTTGTGCTGAGGGGTCGTCAGGTGTAAGAAAGGAAATAGCTAGTGGGCAGAGATACAACCCACATAGCTTAGGAACAAAGCCAGAGTCAAAGATAATGATTGGATGTCCTTCACACTGTGTTCAGTAGACGTTACTCATGAGACTAGATGATTACTCAGGGGCAGTGTATAGAGTATGAAGAAAAAGTCTATGCCTGTAGTGATAGATACACCAACATTTAGGAGATCAGCAAAGAAAAACCACCCTTCACAGGACATTGTGTAGACATTCTGAATGGTTTCCCCAGCACGGGTACCCTCTGGGAAGACAGCTGTTAACAATTTGATAGAGAGGCATCCAAATTAACCTGACAACACTTAATTTAACTACTTAAACATTTTGAGCACCCACAGTGCATGGCACTCTGGGGAGGGGCACAAGGTCCTAATCAGTGCCCTTACACCTTAAATCTAGTAAAGACAGGTGCTACTAAAGGGGTTAAAAGTTTAGGGGTTTAAATCCCATATTTGAATTCTCTTAAACTTAGGCCAGCATTAGTTATACTAACCTTTCGATTTTAAATAATGCTTCTGAGTGTAATGATCCTAAATTGAGCTATTACTCTAAATGGCAAGATGTAGATAAACTGTTTAAAGCTTGCAAAAAATTGAGATAGTGAGCGTGACAATGCTGGAGAAGTACAATGCAAGTTCCACTTGAAAAACTAGAGAAAATGTTCAAGTAATTTCTGAATAATCGACTGGGTTCCTAAGGAAAATAGAGCTCTGTCAGAAGCCTTTCAAGGGAATCAAGGAGGACAAGTATTATGTTATGCTCTTTCATTTTTAGGTATAATGCTGGTATGGATTCAACCTGGCATTTCTTGGGGTGTCCCTGCTAGTGCTTATTACAAGGTATGACTATAGTAATGAGGTTGCTTTCCACAAAACACACTTAAATCTCAGCCACATCAGTGTTATCAGCGTTGCAGGCTTCAGTCGTTTTTTCCCACACCATTGAACATGAACTTACATCATTATAAGTTGTTGTTAGGTGCTGCTAAGCCAGTTTTGACCCACAGTGACCGTATGCACAACACAGGATCTGCCTGGTCCTGGACCATCCTTACAGTTGTTCCTATGTCTCAGCCCATTGTTCCAGTCAAGCTATCAACCCATCTCATTGAGGGCTTCCTCTTTTTCTCTGCCCGTCCACTTTACTAAACATGATGTCTTCCAGGGACTGACCTCCTGACAATATGCCCAAATATGTGAGACAAAGTCTTGCCAGCTTTGCTTCTAAGGAGTACTCTGACTGTACTTCTCTCAAGACAGATCGGTTTGTCCTTGAGGCAGTTCATGGTACTTTCAATATTATTCTCCAGCACCACAATTCAAATGCATCGATTCTTCTTCTGTCTTCCTTATTCAATGTCCAACTTTCACATGCACATGAGACGATGGAAAATACCATGGCTTGGGTCAGGGGCTCCTTAGTCCTCAAAGGAACATCCTTGGTTTTCAAACCTCTAAAGAGGTCTTCTGCAGCAGATTTACCTAATGTAATATGTCTTTTATCTCATGACTGCTGCTTCCAAGAGCACTGGTTGTGGATCCAAGCAAGACAGAATCCCTGACAACTTCACTCTTTTCTCCATTTATAATGATGTTACCCATTGGTACAATTGTGAGAATTCTTGTTGTCTTTGCATTGAGTCGCAAACTTTCCTGAAGGCTGCCATCCTTGATTTTCATCGAGTCCTCCTCACTGTCAGCAAACAAGATGATGTCCTCTGCATTTCTCAAGTTTTTAATAAGCCTTCCATTAATCCTGATGCCACATGCTTCTTATAAACCAGCTTCTCTGGTGATCTGCTCAGCATACAGGTTGAACAATTATGATGAGAGGAAACAACCCTTGCTCACACCTTTTCCTGGTTTTAAAA